AGTTACGTAACAAGTACACCTGTTGGTACCCCCTGTGGTAACATTTACAATAGTGATAATAGAAAAAATTAAAGTTGCCCAATTCAATGACATGTTAGACCAGGTCTTCGTAGCGTCACACATTTTGGACATTTGTGTTGATACAATGATTTTCCCAGAATCGAAAGCGCTCTCCGATACTTGAGTACAAATTACGATCTGTCCTCGATGTTCACTCGGATTACAGTGTGATTGTGCGTAGAATTACACTACAAACATTACCGTAAATGCGATTAACATAAATGCATAGGCTAAATTATTTTACACCATGGCAATATCTTGATACTAAAAAAAATTCTGTCTCGTAAAGTAAATAAGTGTCGACGTCCATAAAATTCGGTATTGGGCTGCTTGATCCCGATACCGATTCCGATTACTTAAAAAAATGTGAAAGCCAGTGCCGCCCTCGTACCGCGTATCTCAAAGCGGTTGCTGTTGAAAAAAGAAAATACTTCCTAATTTGGTCTTCAGGTGGCGAGCTTTACACCCGAGGCGTAGCAGACGCATGCGCGACATATCTACACATGGTTAGGATATTTGTAACATTTTGCTGATTTGCTTCTGGATATTTCGACGTTCACTGACAATATTTAGGACTATAACCAGTGAAAATGGGTGATATGAATAATTCCAATAAATCGATCGAGCTGTTTGTTAGGGTAAGTAAAAATGAAAACCTCACAGTCCGAAGTATGCTTGGAATGTCTTGAGGTCCCTCCAAACTGTACGATGTTATTGACGTGCCAATAATATACTATGCAGCAGTTATTACAGGTAGTCCATGGATGTGGTTATATATAATCTACCCGCGTAGTATGATTTATGGCGTTCACATTTCAGTGTTGCAAGTGTCGTACGACAGGGACCTTTTTCGGAGACATGTCAAATTTCAATGGCGGACATTTCGCCCCGAACGAAATCTTTGCCCTGAATTGAATGGTGGTTCGGAATAGAGCAAAATCGTGTTCTCATCTCATGAGTATTAGTTCAAATGCTAATTTGACTTATAAAGGCGTCTCTTCATTTTAATTTAATTTAATTTAATTTAATTTAATTTAATTTAATTTAATTTAATTTAATTTTATTTTATTTTATTTT